CTGTGTTGAGCCATGCGTCTATGGAGAGGTTGTTTAGTTTCTCCTGAACATTCCTCACTGCACTGAGCTGCAGACACTGCTCAGTCTGGGTTTGGAGGTTTTGAGGCATCCTCTGTTTGAGGGTTCTGTTAGGTTTGCAATGCACGTGGATGTTGTGTTTGGAAAAAAATCCTTCTGCGTTTCTCAGATACTCAAGCAATATATGTGCTGGCAGTGTTTTGTATTGGTTTGTTCTTCTCCTTGCTCTGTAGCATGTTTTTTTAGATCTCCTAGCTGACGACTAAAGCCCAGATGAGATATCCACAGGTGCGCAGAACATTTTTCACATTTCTGTATGCTGGCAAACAAAGACCCTAACGTCTTTCCTTTGTGAAGGCGTTTTTTTTTTTTTTTTTTTTTTTTTGTTGTTGTTGTTGTTGTTGTTGTTGTTGTTGTTGTTGTTGTTGTTGTTGTTATTAATTGTTACTATGCACAGAAAAAACCCAGACAAAACAAAAAAACATTGCTGTAACAAAAAAAGCAGATGTGCTAGGTCAGATTTTAACCAATGACAAGTTGCCATCTGCAGTCTCTGTGCAGGCAAACATAAAACAATTTCCATCCATCCATTATCTTTACCCACTTTTTCCTTTTCGGGTTGCATGGGGTCACTGGTGCCCATGTCCAGCCATCACTGTGTGAGAGGCAGGGGACGCCCTGGACAGGTCTCCAGTCCATCGCAGGGACACAAAGAGACAAACGAGATAAACAACCATTCACTCTCTCACTCTCACCTAAGGACGAGTTACCAATCAGTCTAAAATGCATGTTTTTGGTCTGTGAGAGGAAACGGAGTACCTGGAGAAATCCCATGCATGCATGGCGAGAACATTCAAACTCCACCCAGAAAGGTCCCCGGACTGGGATTTGAACCAGGGTAACCTGCTCACTGAGAGGCAGCTCTACCAACTGCACCACCGTGCTGCTCCACAAAACAACATATAATATAAGTACATCTAAAACCCTTAAATGCCATAGATGTTGATTAACATCAGGAATTTTACCACATGGCATCATGATCAGTTCTAATGAGCAGTTGTATTGGTTCTATAATCTTAACTGGACATTTAATTTGTTCAGGTGCAAAAAATAACTCATTCACTCTCATTTACCAGATTATTTTGTTTAAGTCATTTAGATTACAAGCTGAATGTTCATGCTTTAGCTTGTCTTTCTGGCACGTGTGAAGACATTTAAATATTTTATCGTTGTGATTTGATGGCAGAAATCATTATTTATTCAGATTGCTCATCTGTGAAAGAATCCCTCGAGGGAATCTTTTCATTTCTTGCACAAACGATGATTTGAATGAAAACTTCATGGGGTAATTATGACATTTTACATTGTCAGTTGTGAAACATGATGAAATAAAGTTGTTACAACAATTGATTAGAGATAAACTTTTATTTGGCATTATACCAACCTGTAGAAATGCATTACACAAAGTCAAAATTGGCTACAATCTAAAGGCTCAAATGATTAAGTGGTTTCAGATTCTTGAATTATACAAAACAAGTGTTGAACTGCAAAGCAGTTTCATTCTTTGAGTGGATTGTTAATGAACCTTTAATAGCCACACAATGTTTTGACAGGTTCAATAATTGGCTAATTATAATTAATATCAGCTCTGAAATTGATTCTGTAAAATATTTGGATGCTGCAGTCAGAGGGAATCATAACATTTTCATGGGGACAAAATAAAAAAGAAATGCACTCAGGTAAGAAATAGTTTGTTGTTTTTAGTTTTTTTTTTGTTTGTTTTTTTTTTTTTGGGGGGGGGGGGTCATTTAAGTTCAATCTTCTTTTTTCTAAGATCTGATTAATACATGTATTTTTGTTCATTGTTTGCCTTTCAGACGTAGACAGAAAAAAAAAAAAATCAGGATTCTGAAATGTTTTGTCAAAACGGGCGATTGTGAGCTTGATAAAATCAGAAAGCCTCATGCAAAAAAAAAAAAAAAGGTTAAGGGGGGAGGACAAGCTTCTGACAAAATCTGTACTGACACAGAAAGACAGGCATAGAAATAGGTGGAGACAACAGGAAGATGTGGAGAGAAAATATGAGACGGGAGTAAAGACAGAAGAGATGTCCTGTTCGCACATTAGGAAGATTAGACCATGAGAGAAATATGTTATATTAAAGGGGGGGGGGGGGGGAGTTTCACATGGTTTCATTTGTGACATTTTAAGTGTAATAGTTTTAAAAGAACAACTGAATAAAACACTAATAACAGCATGCCTCCCTTCCATCCTCCTCAAAGCATTCTTAACGTCGGTCCCGGTTAGCACCCGCACCCCATGATAAAGGAGTGACATGGCCGCGCATCAGTCAGCGCTGTGGAATCAGCTAGGAGTGATTCAGACTCCTGCTGCCTCACTCCCTGGGGAGTGTATGGTACGGGGTCAGTGCGACAGAGAAACTGATCTCAAACCAGCACTGAGTCACTTCACATATCAGAGGAGTGTTTAGACCATTAACTTTAATAAGCTGGAGGTAAGTGAGGGGGATGTGCAGGAAAAGATGAGCAGCTCTGTAGCAACTTGGATTCTGGACCGTTAAATATTGATTTTAAGTTTAACATGCCCAGTCCCTCAATGGGTTTTACTTTCTGTAATAAAGTCTCAGTACATAAGCTTTGAAGCTCCCTTCTTCAGCTGTTGCCGTAACGAGCGAATGATTTGGCAATTGTTTTATGCCAAATGCCCTTGTTGATGTAACCTGGGCCCAAACTCCCAGGATTGCAAGCCCGCTGCACTGACCACCAAACAACCAAACAACAGAAACTACTGTTTCTGTAAAATTAAATAAAAAATAAAGATTCACATCTCCTACAGCATTATAAGCAATCTCATACAAGAAAAAACAAACATAAAACATACTTATCAACTGGGAATAATGCAGTAGGACTTTAAGAGCGGAGTTAGATCAAATTGGACAAAATAACTTTCCACTTGCACATTAGGATTTGGGGGGTGATGGTGAGAAACAGGCCTTCTTGCAGCAGTGTAGATCAGGCGTACTATATGAATGAAACATTGTTCGACGTTTAGATGCAATAAGGAAAGGAAAACCAAACATGGGTCTTTTTTTTTTTTTTACTTATCTCTCCTACACGAAACAATGCAGACACATTATAGTTCCTGTGTGATGTGACCAGATTTGACATTAACAAATCAAGAATAATTTCAATGCTGTAGTTGTCGCTCAGTCACTGTTCGTCTGAGGCTTAATTTCTATTCTGTGTTTATATCTGAGTCTTAAACCAAGGGGACGAGTGTGTGGTTACCATGGTGACCCCAATGAGCCACTGCCTGCAGCTGTTATATTTTAATCTATCTTAGTTTTTAATGTTTCCTATACATCATATACATCAATTATTTAGATTATAACAAATGCAATTTCCAATTTACTTTTAGCTGCATTAAAGAAAGTTGATGTTTTGTGTAACTTCTGGCATTGTCACCATTTAGAATATCTTCAGACATATTGTTCTTCATGTTTTGAAATTTCCAGCTCCTTCATATCGTACCTCTGCTTTGACCTTGAGTTGTGACCATACAACCGCAGAGTTTTTAGTCGTGCTGCACGAGTAGCAAGCACTCACATAAGCTTGTGTGCACACATTTTCACAAAGATTGATTTTTTTTTTAATTGCTTGTTGAACGATTGTGAAGCATTTGCATGTGTTTGTGGTGTGAGGGCAAAATTGTCCATTTCATCTGAATAAAACAAGACAGAAATAGAAAGGAATGGGTGAGATGCTGTGAGCTGGAGAAGTTGAAGAGATGCTGATGGACAAAACAATAAAAAGTATAGAACAACACACAAAACAAAAGGTACCCTAAGGGAATAAGATACCCTGTGTAAAGGGAGGTATTGTTTGTTAAATGAGAAAACAAGAACATGACTTATCTTGAAACCAATTCTTCTGATATTATTTCCAACATTTTTATTGTTACTCCAGAACAAAAGTTCCCACGTCAGAGAGGAGCAAGCAATATAAAGGGACACCGATAAATGGAAGTGTAGCTTTATTGTATTGTTTATAAGTATTTATTTTTATTTTCGAAATCACCACTTTTTTACTTTATTTGCTGCTGTGAACGCAGTTTCATACTGACGTTACTCCCCAACAAGAAAAGTGTTTCTCTGCGTTACTTCATATGACAAAACAAAACAGTTTCCCTGCAATGCATTCTTTGAAACAAATCTGACACATAATTCATAATGGCCTAAATGATTTTTGTCTAGTTTATTTCCAGTCATAGTTTGTTGAAAGTTTGATCACAGTGGTGTGTCACAAATTAAAAGTCCCTGAGCGTAACGACCTGACGTGCCCTGTCAAACGATGACGGGGACTAGCAAACTGCAAGGCTTCATATCTCGTCAACTTTGTTTTCAAAGTGTGCTTTAAACAACGCGTGCATTTCATTTTTATTCAAATGTGACATTTTGTGAGTTCCAAATCAACTGGAACCACTTTCAACTTGGAAAGTCAGAGATTTCTGAGCATCGCCGCCCCTCAAAACTCAGGTGGCTGTGAGCAGCAGTATGGTTTCATGCCAAGAAAGAGCACCACAGATGATCATCTTTGCTTTGAGGATGCTGATGGAGAAGCACAGAGAGGGTCAGAAAGAACTCCGTTGTGTCTTTGTGGATTTAGAAAAAGCATCTGACAGGGTGATGAGGGAGGAGGTGTGGTATTATGAGGAAATCTGTAGTGGCAGAGAAGTATATTAGACTGGTACAGGACATGTATGAGGACATTTTCTGTGACAACTAATGAAGTGTTGTTGCAACAAAAACCTGTGAGCCATAAAAGACAATACATTCTGCACCTTAAAGTTTATCCAGCTTTTGTTTAACCATTTCACCATGTGCCATTTAAAACATGATCGCTATTTGTCTGATCATGCGTGTCTCCACATCTGGACTGCTCCTTAACCCCAGCTCCTCCAGCACGTGGTTCGAGAGGATTAGCATCATGGTGATCCTGCTCAACTGCGTGACGCTAGGCATGTACCAGCCCTGCGAGAACATCGACTGCACCTCGGACCGCTGCCAGATACTGCAGGTAGGGCTGACCTCTGCATGTGCGAGAGCATCACACTGATGGGGAAACGGAACAAAACAAGCAATTACAGGAAAACACACTCCTCTCCTTGTCAGGCTTCTTCAAGCTGTGATGCAAAGACGCTTCAGAAAATTTTTTTTTTTTTTTTCGCCTCTCCTGGAATGTTTATATTTCCTCCTGTTCTCTGAGGAGGGAATTGGGACCCAGTTTGTATTAATAAAGCCTCGCGGAGCTGCATTGTGATTTTGTCACCTGTGGAGAGGAGAAACAGCCGCTGAAATTGTAGTAACAAACGTTTGAACATGCCCTGAAGGTTGCTTGAACTCTAATTGTAGTGCATATTTTAATTCATTTTTAAAAAAATCTTAATTATTTTATACGTTATGCAATTTTTCCCCAAAATATTAACAACTTGAGTTGGCAAGTGCTTCATCTTAATCTGACTCCTCTGGATTGCAATGCTGCATCATTGCTTGTGGTCTTGATTGATTAAGTTCCAAATCATCTCTGGCATTAGTTACCAACAAGTTGGCCCCGATTCACAAAAGCCATATGATTAAAAACAGAGCACATATTCAGTATTGTGTTTTTCAAATAGCCGATAGACTTCCATTGTGTTTATAAGCCACGTAGAGCTGATGCGGGCAACGTTTTCTGCCAGCTGGCGGAGGAATCTGCGCACACCTCTGGGACTGTAATTGCTTTTCACTGAAGTCTCAATTTTTAGGGGTGACACAGACGACCTAATTCTGCCTCACATGCTTTTGGTTGCCGATTTTAAACTTCCGCTGGCACTTAAAACCCTTCTACTGTGACCTGTGGGTAAGGCTTCTGTTGCTGCTTTGTTTCAGATGCTATTGTTCTGCCTACAGCACATTAGGATGGATTATAATATCAAATAAAGCCCTCTGGGCCAAACAGTAAAAAGGCTCATTTATCTTATCCGGTGTTGTCTTTATTGTCCTCAGATTTTGAAGCATTCACTGCTGTTGCAACATTAGCTCACAATCCTTTTTTTTTTTTTGTTCCTCTCCTATTTCCCCCTTCCTATAATGCCATTTTTACTCTCCCTTTCTTCAATTTTTGTCTCTCTAACAAGCAGCATACTGTGTCCCCAGGTAGAATGAAGGGGTACTGTTCTGGCGGTTGCTAATGGTAACAAGAGGGATTTTGCTGACAGAGCTTAGATAGTTAACATGGCCCAAAAATGCATCTCTGGTCCTCTGTGGAATCCAGAACTTAACTTTTTGCAGATAGCAGACAAAGTAACAGGCGCAAAAATGTGTACGTTAGCTTAGGATGAGCTGACATTTTTGTCTGCAAGAGTAAAACGGGAATACTGACAAGTTCAGAGCAATGGATTTCAGGTTGCTGAAAGCTTGGAAATGTGTCAGCTTATGTCATTCCCAAGAAACAAGGCTCAATATGTGTTGCATTTTTTTTATTATTATAGTATATTACATATTGTTTTTCCAATACTGTAGCTTAAATAATATTAATAACAATGAAAATAGCAACAATAATTACAAACCGGATTCCAAAAAAGTTGGGACACTAAACAAATTGTGAATAAAAACTGAATGCAATGATGTGGAGATGGCAAATGTCAATATTTTATTCGTAATATAACAGATGACAGATCAAAAGTTTAATCTGAGTAAATGTAACATTTTAAAGGAAAAATATGTTGATTCAAATTTCACAGTGTCAACAAATCCCAAAAAAGTTGGGACAAGTAGCAATAAGTGGCTGGAAAACGGAAATTGAGCATATAATGAACAGCTGGAAGACCAATTAACACTAATTAGGTCAATTGACAACATGAGCGGGTATAAAAAGAGCTTCTCAGTGTGTCAGTGTCTCTCAGAAGCCAAGATGGTAAGAGGATCACCAATTCCACCATTGTTGCGCAGAAAGATAGTGCAGCAATACCAGAATGGTGTTACCCAGCGTAAAATAGCAAATACTTTTAAGTTATCATCATCAACCGTGCATAACATCATCAAAAGATTCAGAGAATCTGGAACAATTGCTGTGCGTAAGGGTCAAGGCCGTAAAACTCTACTGGATGCTCTTGACCTCCGGGCCCTTAAATGTCACTGTACCACAAACAGGAATGCCACTGTCAAGGAAATAACAGAATGGGCTCAGGAATACTTCCAGAAATCATTGTCAGTGAACATTATCCACCGTGCCATCTGCCGTTGCCAGCTGAAACTCTACAGTGCAAAGAGGAAGCCATTTCTAAGCAAGCTCCGCAAGCTCAGATGTTTGCACTGGGCCAGGGGTCATTTAAAATGGAGTGTGGCAAAATGGAAGACTGTTCTGTGGTCAGATGAGTCACGATTTGAAGTTCTTTATGGAACACTGGGACGCCATGTCAACCAGACCAGAGAGGACAAGGATAGCCCAAGTTGTTATCAACACTCCGTTCAGAAGCCTGCATCACTGATTGTATGGGGTTGCATGAGTGCTTGTGGCATGGGCAGCTTGCATGTCTGGAAAGGCACCATTAATGCAGAGAACTATATTCAGGTTCTAGAACAACATATGCTCCCATCTAGACGTCATCTCTTTCAGGGAAGACCCTGCATTTTTCAACACAATAATGCCAGACCACATTCTGCAGCAATCACAACATCGTGGCTACGTAGGAGAAGGATCCAGGTACTGAAATGGCCAGCCTGCAGTCCAGATCTTTCACCTATAGAGAACATTTGGTGCATCATAAAGAGGAAGGTGCGACAAAGAAGGCCCAAGACGATTGAACAGTTAGAGGCCTGTATTAGACATGAATGGGAGAGATTTCCTATTTCTAAACTTGAGAAACTGGTCTCCTCTGCCCCCAGATGTCTGTTGAGTGTTGTAAGAAGAAGGGGGGATGCCACACAGTGGTAAAAATGGACTTGTCCCAACTTTTTTGGGATTTGTTGACGCCATGAAATTTTGAAACAACAGATTTTCCCCTTAAAATGATACATTCTCTCAGTTTAAACTTTTGATCTGTGATTTGTGTTCTATTCTGAATAAAATATTAGATGTTGGCACCTCCACATCATTGCATTCAGTTATTATTCACAATTTGTTTAGTGTCCCAACTTTTTTGGAATCCGGTTTGTATAATAATAATGATGGTAGCAAGAATTAAAATTGTTTAACATTGAAATTGACAGTGCACAAATTATCATTTCAAATCAGCTATCATTCAGTAACATTAGCTTATACAGCAGCAGTCACTTTTGTGATGAAAATCACATTTCATCATTTTAGAAGAAGAACTTTATCTGGAAAATTTTTAAATTTAAAATTAATACAAACTAGAGAAATTGCATTTCCTGCAAAAATGCAGTGTAAAAGCTTATTGCTGAAGAACTTGCTAAAACAGCTGAAATTAGGTAAAAACATGATGAAATGGAAGAACAAGCCTAAGTTAGCAGAAGAAAGCAGAAAGAACACATATTTACTGAATCAGGTTTAAATAAGCAGAAGTGAGCACAAAAATTAGGAAATTATCTAAAATAGCTGAAATTAGCAAAAAAAAAAATAGCTAAAAAGTAGCTGAAAAGGCAGAAAGAAGATTAAGCTACCAGAAGGAAGTGGATGAAGCCAAAATGGGCACCAAAAATGCAGAATTAGATGAAAACGCTAAATTTAGCACAAAACGGCTAAAAAGTAGCTGAAATAGCAGAAAAGCTGAAACTAGCAGAAATAAACTGAAAGAAGCATAACAAGCTGAATTTAGCTGAAATAAGTTAGAAGAAGCACAAAAACGTTGCAGTTAGCAGAAATAATCTAAAAGGATCACAGAACAGCTGAATAAACAGCTGAAATTAGCTGATAGTAGCTGAAAAAGTTTAAATTTGCACAAGGAAGCTGAAGCAAGCTGAACCAGAACAAAATGTGAAAGGAGCAGTAAATCTTGTAAACAGATGAAAAGATTTGAAGGATGGAAAATGAGCTCATTTTCTATGAGGAAAAAAGTGTCAGGAAAGGCTAAATATTTCAAAAAGCTAAAGTTGCACGAATACCAAAAGTCGTGCTTCATAAGCATTAACAGAATGATAATAATAATATAATAATAATAATAATAATAATAATAATAATAATAGCTAGATTTAAATTGTTTAACAATGAAAGTGTTAGTGCACAAAGTATCATTTCAAATCAGCTATCATTCATTAACATTAGCTTATATAGCAGCGGTCACTCAGGTATCATTTTTGAGAGGATAATCCCATTTCTTCATCATTTTAGAATATAGACTTTATCTGGAAATTTTAAATTTTAAAATTAATACAAATAATGGTGTCATTAAGCACAATCCATAATGTGCAGCAGGATCAGTACATGTTTTGTATGTTACAAATCGGTGTTTCTGTGACTTTATAAACCATGAAGTTAAGATTTTTTTAAAGTGGGTTTCTGTGGAATGGTGACCAGTAGTCAATATCTTACCTGCACTAAATGTAACAGATCTCAATTGGTAAAACATGGTAATTGTAGAATGTATTACAATGATATATAACAGTAGACCTATATGTAAATAGAGTACAATGCATTTGTGACACCATGTAAAAACTATTTTAAAACGTGCATAGTCCACTATGGCATTTTAGCTCTCAGCTCTGAATTGGCAGTTAAAGTAGTTGTTAGCTTGACTCTATTTTTTTATTTTTTTTTACCAAACTAAGATAGTTCTGGCTGCTTTCTGCTGTAGGTAAGGTATTGACAATAGTCACAACTCAACAGAGCCCCACTACAAAACGCTAAACTACCTTTTTAACATAACAATATTAAATCAATTGTGTTATGCAGAGCAGAAATTATTTTTAAAACAAGATGATGATGTTAATTTAGTGATGTTTGACTTTTGCAAGATTTCCTTCTAAGAGTAAAATCTCCATGAAGTTTTCAAGTGATTGATAATTTTCTACAACAAAACAAACAAACAAAAACAAGCCACAAAACTACAAAACATGTAATCAGTAAGTAAACAGTAG